AGTCACTTATTGTTGTATACAATTAGTATTGAAATCAATTTTACCTTAATTAATAATTTAGTAACTATTTTGTTCTGCATAATATTTGTAAGGATTATAGACTATATAAATCTAACACCCAATAAATAATAATTTTTAGTTTTAAACAATTTCTAAAATCCTAAATATATGTAGATCATTCTTCAAAAGTTAAGGGTGCTAAATTATGAAATTATATAACACTTGTCGAACCCTTCCATGGGGTACTCGGTTAGGTAGGTGAAATAATTTGGGAATACGGAAACAATATTTGGGGTTGCAATAAAAAATTGCTCTGGTCGTCTATGAGGTAGATGCAGATTAATGGATATTATTAAATTTTTAATTTTCTTTGGCAATGAATATTAAAATTAAATGTTGATTACACCTAGAACGCCTCAAAACTATTTCAGATAAGCAACACGTTGTGTTGAAACAATTGGCAGCAGGAAGGAATGGTTGCAACACTTAACACAAAAATTAAATTTGTTTTAAATAGACTAGTTATCAAACGCTCGACAGCTATACATAGCACAGGAGCAATATCCAACAAAGAGTTTTTGATACAGTTTTCACACTGTTCACTGCGAATTTTAGTTCTTAGACTTGAACATTTAAACACAGCATGATGCGGCAGATAGTATGATCGCGTAGGAATATTCTATTCTTGCAGAACCTCTTGCATATGGCCCAGCTCTAGATAATCCTTCATGAACTTAACGAAACGAACACTAAACGACCTTCCTCATTTCGTCTGAATGTGGACTGAAAATGTTCGAGCGCATGGTTTTCTTCGATAGAACACTGGTTTGCCTTTGATTGTCTGCCGTACAACAGATCATCGTGGCCGAAAATTTCCTTAGATTCTTCCTCCAACGATCTTCTGACACTTAGTAGACATGTGTGGCTCATCTCACCCGTAACTATCCAACCTAGTTTGCTGTCTTGTAAATGTAACATTTTTACGTCAAGCTCTATACGATTTGGCTGCAAGATGTCGAAGAATGCACCACCTCCAATCAATAAGTCGATTTGATTAGAGTCATAGAAGTGAGGATCTGCTAACTGTGGTATTAATTCACTCGGAATTGTCCAGCCTTCCACTGGAGTACGAACGGGTTGCAGTTGTTACAGGTAAAGTATGACAAGATAGTTCGAAACTCGATGAACCGAATCTGGATTCAACGTGTATGTTAACACTTGTACTGGACTGGAGTGTGTTTGCTCCTATACCGCTGACTAGAAGTGCTGCCCTTGCTGCTGGTAACTTGAGTTGTCTTGCCAGTCCTTTGGATATAAAGTTAACTTGTGAACCACTGTCTAATATGGCATGGCATTTTCTATGTACACCTTGACTGTCCCTTACTAAAACTACAGCTGTTGATAATACGTGTCCTTGATGAACCAATAATGATGATTTAGAGCCACCTTGGTTCGATTTTTTATAATTTTTAATTTTGAGAATGTTCGCTTTGGTGTTGTGCTAGACACTGGTAGAGTACATGCTATTTGAAGAACTATAATGTAGGAAAAATGCTCTGTAACCCAAAATTATGACATACCTATAAATTACATTCATGTAGAGTTACTATTATACGTGTTATTTTTTGCTATTTTTTTTTAGACCAACAGGATCTTTTTTTCTCTTGATCATCACTGTCTTCAAAATCTGAAGAGCTTCCTTTATCATCATTAGTTTTAGAATTAGAATCTATAAATTGAGAACCTATCATAGTAGATTCAAAGTAAGAAAATAATTTTGAAAACTCAATATATTTTTTTTTTAAATCTTTATGATTAGGTAATAAATTTGTTGTATAATATATACAACAGTTGATATTGGAATGTACATCAATATATAGATATGGGTTGTTTGTAGAGACGGTCTAAGAACACATGCCCTTGCCATGTGGGCATAGAGATCTGTGTGCCGATACGTACCTAGGTTAGAACAGAAAAAAATGTCCATTATGTAACGCTGACTTTACAGATACCATACGCATTTGGTAACATGTAATTGACTGCATATAATAGTATATAAAATGTATTCAATTTTCAATTTTTAAAGCTAAGGATTGAAAACTTAAAACAAGGTTCCACTTCAACAGTTTTTTCCGTAACGAAATATATAAGAAATATACGAATACAGTTATTTTTTATAGACATTTTAAGTTCAAATTTGGACAAAATTGAATATTAACACAAAAATGTACGTTTACAATTTTGTTGTAATGCGGTTCCAAAACAGCCCAATTTTACCTAGGTATATTAGATATTGTTATAAAATTTTTAATATTAACACAGTTTTTTGTTGTTGGTATTGTATGTTATAATGTGGACGAAATTACATACTAAATAACCAATAATAATAATAATAATAGTTATTTTGTTGTAATTTAGAAATATTATTCGTGGGTACCTACTTGAAACGTTTAGTAATATTGTAGGCTGATAGACTGTCTCCGCTCAGAATCGTTTTTCGCATACAATAATTTGATAATTTGTTATCATTGAATTCAAATATAACACTACCCATTTCAGTGACCCACTTGTAACCTACTGTACAGCAGAGCGACATCCGCTTACCCGCTTTTTTATATAATATTTTAACACATCTTATTTATCTATTTTTCACAACAAATAAGTACTTTTCTTTCTATCAATCCGATAAGTTTTGTTTAATATGAATATAGTTTTTAATATATTTTATCATAGCCATTAACAATGTGGAGCGCCGTTCTCTAACTAAGCCTCAAAAAGATAATTTTCCCCGAGGGTTATTATTATGCATAGTTGAAATATATTTTAATTAATTTTAATAAAGAATTTTGAATATTAACATACTGTTTTTATATTTATTTTAGACATACAAGGTTCTGTACTTCAATTCAGTCAATAAATCAGCAGAACGTTAAGGAGAATTAGTGTCTTATGATTGTGATAACATAAGAGAAGAATTGAAAAATGAAAAAGTATACAAGCTCAATAAAATAACTTCTGATGCTAAGGCTACTATTGTCGAATGTTCTAATGAAACTTTTCCCAAAATTCAAAGTACTGTAGATTTTAAGCGAATATTAATATATATTAATTGTGTGATCAACACACACACTGAAAAAAAACCGTTGGTAATATTGACAATATTGTCTTATTAAACTTTAACAATGTTTATATTGGTCATCGAGATAATAGTTTGTCATTATAACAATAGTTTCGATGAATTAAAAATTGTATTATCTATATCTATATACATATTGTCAATAAATGAATCAAAGAAAAACAAAATTGATAATATACTATTAAAACAACCGTACGTATATTATAGATCTTTTTATGTGCGTAGTGGGTACTCTGACCATTTAATATCCATTTATAACACCGGGATTACCGAAAATCAACGGTATATTATCGTCGTAATAATACTGTTATCATTTTTTATAAGTATATTGTTAATATTTTAATATTCATTATTCTTATTTAATTTGATTCTATAATATTATTCACATTCTGTGCCAAACTGCCGAAGCATATACCTACCTACGTACATACTTATTAATATTTAATATATACGTTATAAATTGAAGGAACTGAAGTGCGTTTATAGCAAGTCAAATCATAATTAATTATTTTTAACTGTTTCATAAATACATAATAGTATTATAATGTTATAAATTAATTTTTAGGTGTATTGTAATTGTTTAAATGAACCCAGTACTCGTAGTTTTTGAATAGATCATTTGAAAAAATTTCAATACCACTGCAGTACATTTATAGTGAGTCAATTATTTATAATTTTTTCATTTATATACTTATTAATATTACATTTTTTGGTAGGTAGTGTACTTATTGATTTTAACTGGTACCTAGCAGTGTTTCAAATAAAGATTTAAATAATTTCGCTGTACCTATCCGAACCTACCTGACTTTGTGTTGTAAATTTGTAAATTGACATATTTGTAAGTTAATTTTAAAAAAATGATTTGTTATTCATGCAAATTTAATACAGATAGTTGGAAGGCTTTAGTTTATCACTTTAAAATTTTTCATTTACTAAAAACAGATAGTAACTATACATGTTGTGAAGAAAAATGTACACAATCTTTCCTATCCTTAGCTTCATTTAAACGGCATTTTCATAATAAGCATTTCCCTGAAAAAATTATTATAAATCATCAACCGGAAGACCAATCTTGTTTTAATTCTTCAACATTACCACATAATACTGAAAATATTAATGATGATGATCTTTTAGCTGATTATATAAATAATACTCCATTTAATTTTGATTTAGCTAGTGAATCCGTGTATAAATCAGCAGTAGAATTTGTTGTAAACTTGCATAATAATAATAATTTTACTAGAGTAGACATTATCAATATTCAAACTGGCATATTAGATAAAATAATTAAACTAATTGTATCTATGCTGAAGAATTTAGTAGATGATGAAATTAAAGAACCAATTAAGGTGGCTAAATTTCATAGAATTGCTTCTGTTATAGAAAAACCTTTTTTATATTGTAGCACTGAGTATAGTTTATGCGATTGGCTTATTAAAAATGAACTGTTATCTCAAATAAACCAATTTACAATTAATAATAAAATTTGCCCTGAACAATTCAATAGTGAATCTATATTTAATGAAAAAAACACAAAAGGTGTTCTGTTACCTTTACAGTTTCAGTTAAAAAAATACTTTGAACAAGGAGATAATTTAAAAAAACAACTAGAAACTTTAAACAATCGCAAAATGAATTTTAATTATGGACCCATAGAGGGTAAGGGGTCATGTGTTCGAAAGTCATGTGTTCGAATGCTGTATGTTCGAACGTTAAGTGTACGAAAAATTGTCTGTTCGAAAGATTATATGTTCGAAAAGTCGTATGTTCGAAATTATCGATAAATTAAACACGAATTTTACCAAAATATTTAATATTCGTTAATTCGATTTTCTGCGTAAAAAATTAAATTTAAAAATAGGTACCAAAAATTCGTAAAATAAATTAGTCGTTAATAAATGTAAATGCTAAATAAAAAAAAAACTAAAAACTTAAATTATACGATATTCCTCTTAGAAACTCAATAATACTTATGTCTAAATTTTTTAGTCTTAGAACTAATTTTTTAATTCTTTGTTCCCGTTCTTCGTTGCATGTTTTTCTTTTTTTACTTGTTCGGCCTTGAATGATTTGCTCTATAGAATTTTCAGTTTCATTCTGAATTTTTTGGAACTGTCTCATCAATTTGTAAACTCCTGGTTGTTTTGATACTAATCTATAAACATTTTTTAATAGTTTAATTAGTTGTAACAATTATGTTATGGTTATTGATATATTGTTCCTATACCTATTAAGTCGACCGTGCCATGATTCAGCAATATTTGTTGTTCTTGGCAAATTTGCATCAATTCTTGAAGCTACTGACCACATGTCAATTGGAAATAAGGGGGGGTGTCGTTGAGGTTTAATACGTCCACGTAGTCTCATAGCTGGTTTACCATAAATGTAAGTATTTTCGAAGTATTCTAAAAGTGATTGTTCTCTTTCGTTATCACTAAATAATAATTTCACAATTTCCCAACCTTCGATTACCTAAAAAATATATTAATATATTTAAAAAATTGCAAGTTCCCACGAATAATATTATTATTAACATTGCATGACTCTGAAATATTAGATAGTAATAAAATAAATAATAAAATTAAAAAAAGTAAGTGTTATGTAATTTTTTTTAATACGTACTTTATTTACTGGAAGAAAAGAAAGAGCAGGTAAATGCCGACAAATCAAATTAAATTCCAGGTCTTCCATATACTTTGTAGATAGCCCTTCTTTTTGAATATGGCGCCAGATATTTTGACAAAAGTGAAAAAAACAAGCAGAATGGGTTACAAATGGAAAGACGTCATTGATCGCGTTGATTGAAGCTTTTTCAAAGTCCGTTATTATTTCAAGTTCCTTATTACTTTCGAAATAAATATTATTTTTAATCGCAAAATTATTAAACTCGTTTAGCACTGTTTTATAGTCATCTTCAGTTTGGTTGGTCATCAGTACGTATACCAATGGTACACAAATGTTGTCATTAATACCTCGTGAAATTGATCCATGTATTGTAAATATCTGTTTAAAAATTCCAGGACAAGCTTTAAAGGTTCCATCAGCGAGCCAAAAATTTGATTCCCTCAAGTATATACAATTTTGAACAGTTGTAAAAATCATAAATTTATTATTTCCTTCGATTGCATTTTTCAAAAGGAAAGGTTGTCCTGAAATTGTATTTTGAAGTTCTAAGGAAGGTATAAAATTTAATGAAACTGGTTCTAGTTCTTTTCCTTTTCTTTGTCTTTTTACGATTTGCTTGGATGCGTTTTTAGTTACTTGAGATGAAATTATAACGTTGGAATTTGCAATTTCGTTTTGATATATTTGATTTGGCGAATCTTGTGAATTTTGAGCACATTTTTTAATTTTATTTTTTAGAATTTTGCAATGGTGTTTAACTGTATCTGGTGGGTGAGAATGGTCATTATTAATAAAACAATTGTCTTGTTTATGTTCACCGTGCTCAAATATTGTCCGAAACGTTGCTCCACATCGTTTTGTACATTTCCAATAATATATATTATTTTGATCTCGTATTCGCAGTCTTTTCTTATCAAACATGTATTCATAATTATTTACAAGTAACATTTCCTTGTCATGTATACTTTTAAATGTCTGTATACTAGCCATTTAAAAAAAAAAAACCACTTACACAAATTGTATAAAATATTATTTAAAAACAACGTTCAAAGGAAATTGTGTTCGATACTTTTGTAATGATGTATCGAACTGTACTGATAGATGACAAAAAATTACTTTTAATAATATCTATAATGCTTTCCCCACGTAAAATCAATAAAGATAAGATTGTGTGAAATCCAATATAATGAAAACTCGATTAATGTTATTAGGGTTATTTTTGTTTAGTTTCATTTATCGACAATTTCGCACATACTACCTTTCGAACATATAATCTTTCGAACATATAATCTTTCGTACAGACAATTTTTCGTACACTTAACGTTCGAACATACAGCATTCGAACACATGATTTTCGAACACATGACACGCTACCCCCATAGAGATAGGCAACATTTCACCTCCCATTAAAATGATTCATTTAGAAAAAAAACATTTAAAAATGCCAGCTAGAGAAGTTATAACCTTTGTTCATTTTTTTCCTCTTATGATAGGAGATCTCATCCCCGAGAATGATGAAGTTTGGGCCTTTTTTATTTCACTGCTCCAAATAATAGACATTCTTCTATCATATACCTTGACTAATAGTGCAATTTCTCATCTAAAACAATTAATTTCAGTAAATACTATTTTTTAAAGTAAACCAATCTAATTCCAGAAATAATTCAACTTTTTATCTTTCCTTTATCTCTTCAAACTATATGCTATATACCCCTGCAGATATACTTATGTCAGCAGGTAATTCAACTAAAGACTTAGATTTATTTAATACTACCTTATTTAATTTGTCTAATATTCGATCTAATAATCTCTTATGCTCTTCTATTTCTCTTCTTTCTGTGTCATATTTCCCCCCCCCCTTCTAATTCTTCTACCTGCATATTTTATAACCACTATACTCACAATATAATTATTTATTCATATTATGTTGCTTTTACATAATATCTTTAAGTTTAAATCGTTATTTCATATTTAATATTTGTATACATATACTTTCTTTCTTTTTTGTTTTGTTATTTTCTCTATTTTGTTCTGTTTTATGTTATTTGTATTCACATTAATTTTAAGTTGTAACCCATATTATGTGCACTTAACACAAACTGTCATTACAATATTTTTGTAATAGGAATTTATTTCCGGAAATAAATTATTATTATTATTATTAAAGACTTCTATGATTGGAAATCTGAATGTTCTGTTTACAAATTTAACAAGCAAAATATAAGACCAATGCTTAGTGACATTGTTCATATAAAGGCGAAAAGATGGTTGAATTATTTGCTTTAAAAAACTGACTACAATGAATATAATTATCCATTTGCAAAACTTGATTTTTTTTAAAAACCATTTCATTCAAAATTGAATTCCAAAACCAGACCAAAAAGCTAAAGTTCTCGGTATTCATCCAAGTAAAAAGGAAAGTATAATAAAAACATTAATTCCTTTAATGCCAGAAACTAGGAAACAGTTCTGGCTAGCTTTTCCTTGTGCTATGGAAGCACCAGTGACATCGAAAATTAAAAATGCAATATATTATTATTATTATAAAAATATCAGTCTGATTAAATTATTTTTAATTATTTTATAAATTGTAAATTTAAAGTAAAAAGTACTTACTTGCTCAAAAGTGTTTGCAACTTATTTATTTACATAATAATAATGCAAGTCATTCACAACTTTTTTCTATATTACATACTTTCTAGTATAAATCTCGTCCATATTAATTTAAAATATTGAAACGATATTTAAAGCATCATTTTATTTTAGTTACCCTCGACGTGACAAGCATTATAGCACTCTACGAAAGTAGCCGGAATTTGTTGAAGGCCAGCCTTATGAGCTCGTTGGGTACGATGTCGGGCCCCCAGCGTCTTGCCCGATGGAAGTTTAGCGACGTCCCTTGCAACCTTTTTTTTTGTGAACGGGAGCGCTTGTGAGGAAACATCTGGCAGGTTAATGAGAACCGACATTCCACCACCGATCACAGAAATATGATCCCAATCTGTCAGAGGCGAAAGCGGAAAGAGTCCTCGAGCCCCGGTAGCAGTTGTAGCGTGGTCCAGAGCTGGAGAGCGACGGCCCAGCCTCTTGATGACCAACCTGTAGGGTACGCCGCGCGCCGCTCGGGTCGTGGTCGACTGACCGGCACAACTCCCTACAACTGTTTTATTAAGCTTTACGGATGGCCCGTCTCAGCTCTGTACTTGCCTTGTTATAAGCTTCATCCTCTCAAACAACTTGGAAAAATTGCCCCGACCTGCAGCCAGCGCGCTGATAGCTCCTCCGGACTACTATGGCAACTTAACGCAGTTAAAAAATATTGTCGCTCCACCAATGGACAGACCTCTTTGTCTTGATCTTTGCCGTATCGCACAATGAGGAGAGGAATTCGTTGAGCCACTCAGCGTGTTCATCCGCAGGTTAGGTTAGGTCTGCCGATAGAGGGTAAGGTGGACCAATCAGCTCCCAGTAGACGTTGGCTGCTTAAGGGTTCAGCTTCTTTACTGACTAGCCTCATGCCCGAACTCCGGCTGACCTAGGTTGGCCAGTGTACGTTACAGAGGTTGACACGTTATAAAAAATATATGAATGATCTCTGACAGAATAAGCGTCTTCCAGCTTTACGGCTCATGGCGCATCTAATCAGGGAAACTTCAGGTCAATTTTGTTATATAGAAGTAACAGTCATGAACATTTAATCAGCATACTCCAAAACGAAATTATTTCATCTTGCGGAAATATAATATTACAAATACAAACCATCGAAAAAAAGTGAATGACTTTCAGTGCTTCTCGGTTTTAGCTGATGAAACCACTAATATATATTTGACTGAACAGCTTGCTCTGTGTGTTAGGTATATCGATAAAGAAAACAATGCTAATGAATGCTTTCTTAAGTTCATTCAAGTGCATAGCTTATCTGGAAAAAACTTTGCAGATTCTATTTTGAATGGTAAATTGTATTTGGGATTTGAGTTTATAGTATACCTATTACCTACTTAATGTTCTAATTTACTAAAATTTTACTGTTTTCCAATTTTATATATAGGTTTAATAAGTTGTGGAATCGATTGTGATTTTTTGTATGGTCAGGCATACGTAAATATGACACAGGATAACATTGACGAGAAGTTGAGGAAGTCAGAAGAATACGCCGCTCATGATGGGGCCGAAATAACCGAGTCGTTCATGAGACGAGTGAATGCTCGATACGACCATGAAGTCCATAGATGACAGAGTCACCATACTCTATGACCTGGCCGTTCAAGTTTGAAAAAAAAAATATATCAAAATATGCGATTGAAATAGTGGCCAAAGAGTGTAAAATACACTATTTCCTTTACGGGAACAAAGAAAAGATGGTTAAGGACGTGGTTGGATGCAAATACGCAAGATGTGCCTATCAACGGTCCACAGGTCATTTTAGACCTATACTGTTTATATTACAGCCGACCTGTTCACCGATAATGCTCTCTGTTGTTACGCCGATGACAGTGTCGTCGATCGTTGGTGTGCGTGTATTATGCTAGCTACATAAATAATTGCTACATACACACAATACACGTTGTTCCGTCGGAATTGTGTTCACTGTGATTTACGCTAAGTCCAACTCCATCATGTGCAGCTATTCAACCGACTTATGTGCAAAATAGTCTCATAGTAAGACTTACTATACGGACTGCATAGTCAAGGTTCTCAAGCAACTGAGTGTCGACGTCGTCAACTGTTACTGCCAAGCCAGCCCGCGGCCACCTTCAATTCCTATCATTTACCAGTGCAGCTCATCGCAGTCATAAGCCAGGTCATGTGAGTAGGTTATCCATGTGTTGTTTTTAGGCTACTTGTCCATTGTAAACCATTATTATTATTATTCGTTATGAACCTGTAGCGCAAAATTTATTATTTATTATTATTGCGTAATTGAATTATTGATTATCATACTAGTCATTAATTAAAATATGTTAATTGTTATGATTATTCTATAGCGCCGAGCGTGGCTCAATACTTATCATTATTATTATATTCCCCGTGAATTATAATTTATTTTTTATTAATTGTCTGTTACGTCTTTTGGGTTAACTTATATTATATCTGTCAACGCTATTATTAAAAAATTGTTCTTGCCTTTATTTATCTTTGAACCTGGAAAATATATCATTGTAAACAAAACGAAATCAACTCCCCTGCTATTGCTTAGGGATTGGTTCGTTACAGACGTAATTAAAAAATTTAATTAGTCGGTAGACGGACAGTGGATTAGGCCTCTTGGGGAAACCACATGAGAAAAAACGCGCTGTAGCTGATACCCCTTGGACAGTGTGGAAATTCAGCTACAACCTGGGCATTGCAGCAGACACTTAAACAAAATGTTCGTTTAAAATATGGAGCGGTTGAAGTTCAAGTTAAAATACAAGTCCAAGAAATCAGAAATCAGGAATCATTTGAATCTGAGAAGAGCCTACAACAGGTGTTCGTTAAACTCGGGAATTCCAACCGGCGGCGAGCATACATGATGGAAGTCCCGGGAGAGTTAACCTAACCTAACCGCTTATCGTCATCTCGTGCCTTACCTAACCTAACACTGTGTTTTGAAATTTTAGGTTATGCCTGGTGGGACGGATTAAGGTATACGGAGAACAGTGAGACTTGCCAGAGGCCCCATTTTTCGACAACCCGTTCAGCAAGTATTTGCAGTTAGCGGCCGAACCGAAGGACATCAGCGAAAACCAGTCGCCTGACGTTTCGCCCCAGCAGCCCGTTCTCTCCGTGAGTATCATCTTTCGGACCGACAGGCGCGTTCGCCCGGCGATCGTTCGACCTTAATTCGATTTTATTATTCATTCCTTTTGTTCGCAGAGGTGTGATACACATTCGAAAAAGGCTGACGTTGGAGGGGCTGCAGCAGCAGTTGCCCGGTAACCACCCGCTGCTCAAACTACACCGGAGAAGTCTCGCTCTGAGCCACGACCACGATTCTGCAGCTGTCAAAAATTATATGGCCAACGTGGCCAGGATGCTGTACCACGTGTCGGTCTGGCTCCGCGACCGGAAGACGCCCCCTAGCCACTGGCAGACTTGTTAACTTGCCCGGTCGACCCCTTCGTGCAGTACTTGGAAAAATGAGTGTGGGGCGTCGGAATCACGTCGTGTGTCTATTGTTTTTTTCATTTTTCGTTTTCCTCCAGCAGGAGAGAGGAGCTCGGCCAGACAATAGCGACATCTATGAATTATTTAAAAAATATAAACACCCTGTTGGACATGGCGATAAATAGCTACGCGATGGAAAATAAATCGTTTCCAAAAACATTCAAACTATTGCCTTGTCCAAAGACAATAAATGAAATGAAACTGTTGAAAAGGAAGCTGAACCTGCTGTACAAACATAAA